AGCAAAAGCTCACGTCAGGAAAATCTTATATAATGTAAAGCAACACTGAAATAAAGAAATAAAACATTAAAAGAAAACATTAGCAACATAGAGAACCATTCCCAGAAATTTAAAACTTAGTTAACAGTCGTTCCAAAAAGATAAGAAATAGAAAAATTGATGACAGGAAATTACATAAGATTTATTAGAACAAAATTTCCAAGTAGTGACTATTTCAACTTTAGGTTGAAAAAGCCCATTGTGTTTCCAGGAAGATGAATGGGGGGGGAAAAAAAGACTCTTATCTAAAATATATCTTTGTGAAATTTTCAGCACATCAAGTTAAAGAGGAATGTTGAAAAGTTCTGGACAAAAGTTCTGTTTATAACAGAAGAAGGACCATCACACTACAGACTAAGAGATTTTTCATCACCTATACTGGGTGCTAATAAGTCTTCGGAACAAACCCTTTCAGGTGCTGAGAGGAAATTTTGTTGAGATCAGAATGCAGTATCAACTCAATTATAAATCAGGGATGGGGCAAAAGGAAGATATTTTCACACTAAAATTGATGAAACAAGATACAGTAGTATAAGCATATCATTTATATCTCTGTATGTAGCCACCAGAAAAACTAAAAATATCAGTAGTTGAAAGTGTACATTCTTAGAGGTGAGTATGGGGATGAGAATGTATGAGTCAGGAGACAATTTTATTGCATGCCATTTTGTACTCTGATTTTTTTTTAACCATTTTCAACTATTAATTTATGTTATATGCTTTATTAAAATTGAAAATTGTATTGAAAGCACCAAGTCAATTCTTAGCATGGGTATAGATAGCCATTACATGTTGGTGACTCATGCTATATACCAAGGTACCATTTACAAACTAGGTCTGTCACATATTTGCTGTATGAACTTGAGTAAATTACTTAACTTTTCTCCACCTCAGTTGTGCCTTCTATAATATTGGGAAAAAGGAGTGGTCATTGTACTTACACGCGCTTAGAATGCTTTCACCATTCAGTAAATTTTAACAATTACTAATACCATCTAAGTTCCCTATGTACCAAACTGACTCTGTTCTTTATGATTTTACAGAAATTTTGCATTAGCCCATTGCTTCAAAACTAGATTTAGAAAGATGCTTTTTAGTTATGCAGTGGGGTTCTAAACCAATACAGAGAAACAAGATTTTTAAATGTTAAACATTACCTGCTTCTAATTTAAACAAATTAATTCCATTTAATTTAAAATTTGACTTTACCCTATCTAAAAATTTATATCCATACTAAAATTGAGATTTCATATATTTTATAAAAATAGAATGTAGTTATTAAACATTTTTGAATCTCAAAAATTTTGACCCTTACCTCATTTGCTTTATAATTTTCCTAAAGATTGTCTTATAGGATATGACTCTTTCATACATAAGGGTTGGCACACTGTGGTTTTTAAATTGTGTTCATTGGTACTTATCAACCTGGGAAGAAAGTGTCATCATGGGAAACATATTTAATTTGTGTCTACAATATCACTGCTCCAAGGATGATGGTTTAAATAGTAAGGCAGAAGATATCCATGACCTGAAAGAGTTACAAACCATTAGTCTTCATTAAAGTACTGGCAACCTGAAGTTTCCATTTGAAATATGATTCTAAAAAATTATCAAGGTCTTTACCAAAACTACGTCATTTTTTCAGAGATGACCACATACAAGCTACATACAAGCTTAGTGAAATATTGCTCAATCAAATTTGTTTGTATGAGGATTTGCTGAATGTATTAGTTCCCTATCACTGCTATAACAAATTACCACAAACTTAGTTGTTTAAAACAGCACTAATTTATTATTTCATAGTTCTGGAGGTCAGAAATCTGCAGTGCATTTCACTGGACCAAAACCAAAATGTTTGCAGGGCCACGTTCCTCTAAAGGTTGTAGGAGAAAAGGGTCCATTTCCTTGTTTTTCCAGCTTCAGGAGGCCATATACATTCCTTGACATGTGGCCCCTCTCTCTATCTGCAAAGTCTATCACATCTCTTCTCTGGCTCTCATCCTTCCACCTCCCTCTTTTAAGGACTTTTTTTGACTACATTGGGCCCAAGCAGATAATCCAGGAATCCACCCCCATCTCAAGATTCTGAATTTAATCACATCTGCAAAAATCCCTTTCACTGTGTAAAGTTCAACATATTGGCAGTTTCCAGGGATTAGGATGTGGGTATCTTTGGGAGACTGTTATTCTGTCTACTACCACACTGAAGTATGAAATTAATCTCAATAATAGTAATCTAAAGGCAGCAATCATCTTGAAAGAAACCAACAAATGTAGTCAAAATGAATAAACAAATGATACACATTAGAACCAACCTTATACTATGACCAACACCAAGAAGAGAAAATACTACTTGACATATAACTATTATATTTGATTGGCATGGTGACTCAGGAGTTCATATTTTTAAAAAATACTTTACCTTCCTGGATGCAATGTATTAATGAATATGTGGGAGGTAAGAAGAGGATGGGGAAGTTAGGGAGGGAGGGAGTAAAGCATGACTCATTTATCATTTTATATCTAAATGACTCATGAAAGTTATAAAACAGAAACTTTATTATCCACTAAAATAATTGCTCAATGCAATCCAAAGTAAAGGTCAAGAAATCAGATTTTGAATGGCATGTGGTGGGAAGAAGAGCTTTGGATCCAAGACCTGTCTCTTATACATGACCTTGACCAAGTATCCTAACTCTCTAAGCTTTGTATCCATTTCAATAAAATGGTGCAGTAATATCTGCCAGGTAGATAGGATTAAGGGTCTAATATAGTCCTCTCAGTCTCATGGTGAACAGTGAGTTATAGTCTCCTCAGTCTCTACCAATACATTAATCCTCAATATATAATCATCCAAGTTTTTTATCACATAAATTATCTGTCTTCAGATAAACTACATCAGGCTACTCTCATTTAGGAGTCACTAAGCTGGAGAGTCATTTATTATTTTTTATGGTTTTATTGAGTCTCAACAGACATTTCTGAGGTTAATTCTAACCAGTCATCCAAAATTAATGTAAAAGCCTCCTGTCCGATTCAGACACATATATAGCTTTGTTATATTTCTGTTTTGTACTGGTTGCACCAAAATTTAGGGCTAAGTGATTTTAAATAGCTGAATGACATGATGTTTTCTCTGGTGAAATACTGCTCACCATCATTTCTAGGACTCCCTCCAATTCTCTAACTTGCATTAGTATTTCAATAGAATACAATATATACTCTATCTAATGTAGTATGAAGTACAAAATCTTTACGTTTTTTTCTCTTAAAACTTTGCAGACATATGAACATTATTTTTTCTACACGCTATAATTGAAAATTGCTTTCCCTCTATCATTGGTTTTGACCTCAGCATCTGAACCAGATATTCAGGAAAAATAAAGCCACATGAAATTATAGAATCTCAGCACTATAAGTCCCCTTAACAGTCATTTAGTACAATCTCTTAAGAATGTTTAAATTTTCCATGGGCTGATGGTACAAATATCCATTTTCTTAATGAAATGTGTGATAATTAAGGCTTGTTGAAGACAAAACCTTCTGACATTGTCATCTAACACATAGAAAACTGTGTGGTATTTTAGAACTTCTCAAGTCATACCCAACATATGGCATACAACCTACATGCATATTTCAAAGCTGATTGTAATTTGAAATAATGAAAAAACAGATTTGCAAATAGGGTTTGCATATCTCTCATGAAACCTGAAATTGTTCCCCATTTCGTAAACCTGAGTCCCGGAAAGCAGCCCATGAAGTTTAGTAAATCATCCTTAATTAGATAAGTGCTTGCCCAGATCCAAGGGAGACTGACAAATTATCAGGTTTGAAGGATTTTTACCATTACATCTTGAGATACATCTTGAGATATATATATAAAAAAACATATATAATATATTTAATTTCTGTTTAGATATTAGATATTGATATATAAAATATAAATAAAATATATATTTAATTTTTTGTTACTACTGATAATTACATTCATATAGTCCAATGACATTTATACACCCTCTGCTCAGAAGACAATTAATTCAAATATCAAGGTGGATTTTTCAATATTTGTTTTAAAGATTTTATATTTAAGTAATTGCTACACCCATTGTGGAGCTTGAACTCACAACCCCGAGATCGAGTCACATGCTTTACTGACTGAGCTAGTCAGGTGCCCCAGATTTTTCAACATTGAAAAAATAATTAAGGCACTGCAATTTTTTAATCAACGATTAATTAAAATGTATTTAAGGAGGAAAATTATCAGAGAAGCTTTAAAGAAATTAAGAAACACAGCAGTTTTTCCAGTGAATGGTCTGAGGACTGCCAGCATCAGGTGGCCAACGGGACTTGTTAAAAATGTACCTGCCAAACCCGCTAAGTCAGATTAGGGGGTGGATATCAGTAACTGCTGCTTTAATAAGTGAGTATGACTCCAAGTACACTATAGTATGCAAACTGTTCATTCAACCACAAATATTTGTTGAGTACCTACTATGTACTAGGCACTGTTCTAAACTGGGGATTAGCAAACTACCACCTGAAGACCAAATCCAGACTGCCACCTATTTTTATATGGTTTATGAACCAATAATAGGTTTTATGTTTTTAAGTGGTTTAAAAAATCAAAAGAAGAATATTTTCTAACACATAAAAATTATGTGAAAGTGAAATTTTAGTGTCTATAAATGAAGATTTATTGGCACACAGCTACACTCATTAATTTCAATACTGTCTGGAAGGGGGCACTGGCTGGCTCAGTCGGTAGAGCATGTGACTCGATCTCAGGGTTGTAAGTTCAAGCTCCACGTTGGTAGAGATAAGAAAAAAAATTAAATCTTTTTTAAAAAAGTATAAAAAAGCCAATATTGTCTGGATGTGTTCATGCTACAAAGGCAGAGGTGAGTAGTTGTGACAATCTATGACACACTCTTTCACTTCACACTGCTGCTAAGCACAGTACAAATAACAGTGACAGTTATAACTCAACAGCACTGCAAGTATCATACATATCCCCGTACTGAGGCATTTTATTCTGATTTTTATTACCAACATAAATCCATCATGTCAAAACAAGACAATAAAATAAAAGTGGACTTTGAATGTCACAAATTTAAGGCACAGTTGAGTGTGGATTATTTTGTTATGAAATTAAATGGCAGCAGCACCTGGGTGGCTCAGTCATTAAGCATCTTCTCCTTCTTCCACTCCCCCTGCTTGTGCTCTCTCTCTCTGTCAAATAAATAAATAAAATCTTTAAGATCTTAAAAAAAAAAAGAAATTAAATGGCAAAGCGCTGTTTTGTTATTCAAAGACAATATAGCTATACCAAAAGAATACAACATGCTTCAACATTACTAGACCAAGTACTAATTACAATATTTTCAACTTGCAGGAAAGCAGGAGGCAGGAAAATTAGAAAAGTTAAAATACCTCATCTTATCAGAAATTTTTCACAAAATAAAGTATTACAATGAGCTGCAACCAAAACGTTGTATTTGTTAGCCATGCAAGAAAACATATTTATTGAGGGTGATGTAATTAAATTGACTTTGATACAATAGCCGAAGTAACATGTCTGGAGAAAACCAGCTTATTTAAGAGTAGTAACCTATCGGTGAGAACGCTTAGTCAAAAACTTGAGAATATTGAGGGCAGCATCAATAGCCAAATAATATACAAAGCAAATGATTTTGAATAATTTTACTTGGCTTTTGATGAATCGACAGATGTTTGTTGTTCAGCTGTTTTTCATTTGAGGAGGCAATGCTTAGTTTGAAGTGGCTGAAGAATTAGCCTTTATGAAGAATTAACACATAACAACTATAGGCAAGAATATTTTCAAAAGTGTTGAGAAAACACAAATTCAGTACAACCTGAATTGGAATCTGCTAAGATGTGTTAAAACTAATAGTGGTAAAAATGTGCGTGGAGCAGAAAATGATTTAGTTGAAAAAATGTGGAAAGTTTGTGAAAATGTAAAATGTTTAAAGCCTATGTTTATTCATTGTATGATTTCATCAGCAGAGCTTTGCAGAAATTAATCCACCATATGCTTCTGAACCAGTAGCATCAACAGCAAACTCCATTCACTCTTGTGGGCTAACCATCATCATCAGTTCTATGAATTTTTGTCATAAATAGGAGATGAATATTCGGACTTGGCCTATCACACAGAAATCTGGTGGTATAACAGTGAGAAAGTTTGTGATTTCTTTTTTTTTCTTTCTTTTTAAGCTCAGGGTCAAGATTTTTAAATTTTTATGGATGAGAATTACCTTCAACCACTATTTTCAAACACTGAATGGCCTCGAAGTTAGCTTTTGCTGCGGACTTGATGTTGTTTCTTTATGAATTCAACCTAAAATTATAGGTCAAATAATAGTGTATGAGAAACTTGTACTGCAGTAAAGTCATTTTGACAAAAACTAACACTGTTTGAATCACAAGTCACGTCAAACTACTCTATTCACTTCCCATTCTATCAAAGGTTAAAGTAAGGAGCAATATCTCCATTCCTACACAAATGTGTAGTAGATATATCTTCTGGACTCCATAACATTTCTGAAACATGACTTAAGTGTGAGGAAATTTCCATATTTCAAAAATCCATTGAAATGTGTAATTGGGGAGCTTCCAACATTCAAGTGGAAGTTAATAATCTGCAATGGGATCATATGCTAAAATGAAAATATCAAGAGAAGAATCTAATAGAATACTATAAATGCCCTCCAAATGATGAATATGCTCAATTAAAGTCAGATGCTAATGGATAACTTCTGTCTGAAAGGACATTTTTAAGGGAGAAATAAATAAAATCTCATACGCATTTTACAAATCAGCATTAGCAAATAAACATTTACAATCAATTTTGAAGATAGAGAACTAATTTTTTTTAAGATTTTATTTATTTATTTGGCAGAGAGAGAAACACTGAGAGAGGGAACACAAACAGGGGGAGCCAGAGAGGGAGAAGCAGGCTCCCCACTGAGCAGTGAGCCCAATGCGGGGCTTGATCCCAGGACCCTGGGACCATGACCTGAGCCGAAGGCAGACACTTAATGACTGAGCCACCCAGGTGCCCAAAAACTAATTTTGAACTGATTTTTAACCCTAAGTGAAATGTTATCACCTCCCAAAAAGAATTGTATTCTTCTTATTAGTAGATCTATATTACAAAAATTATACTTTGTTGTTATTTAAAATTTTATCAACGCAAAATTTGTAGAAAATTTTACTCTCTTACATAATATTCTTGATTTTGCCTCTTTGCCCACAAAGCCTAAAATATTTACTATCTGGCTCTTTACCGAAAAAGTTTTCTGACCTCTTCTCTGAATCCCCACTGACTATAATCCCTTTGGGGGAAAGGACTGGGCCCTACACATTTTGCTTCTTCCTCAGTGACCAAAACAATTGTTGTCACTCAGTGGATGGTAATGGTATCTGTAACTAGACAGAGCTTTGCAGTGAGTTGAAAAAGGACTCTTTTGACTGTTAAAATGATGATAATTATTATGATTTTGATATAATATTAGGTAGGAATTGCTCTCTTTAATACGTTTTTGGAAATAAATTCAAATTAAATTAATAATAAATCATTAATCAAAGCAATTGCAAGCAATTTCTAACAAATTAATTCTGTCAACTTCTCCACAGAGAATTAGTGGATACAAGGGATATATGGATAATATGCAGAATCTGATTTGGTTTGTTTGTTTTATACAAAGGAAAATGATTTCCACCAAACGTAACTTAAACATTGCATTTTAAAGGAGCTCATTTTATGGTGTATGTTTATATTTCGAGTGGAAAATTCTATTCTAGAAATCCAGTAGTCAAATCACAGTGCTAGGAATAACGCTATTTCCATACATTAAATTTACATAATTGAGCATGCACACTGAGAATATATGAAGTACTTGCAAATTATCCCCTTTCTCCCTCAATCTTATACATATCAATCTATTTCATAACTGATTGTTCATCCCTACTTCCACTGCCTTTTTATTTTTCTCATTGTTCTCCTGTCTTGGTCTCTGAATCACTTGATTGTGCTCAATAAATATTTGTTAAACGTTCAATGACCAAACCTGAACTGGGTCCCTGTTGAAAGTACGGTTATCAGGTTGGTCCCATTCACTCAACTCTTTCTTTTTTTTTTTTAAAGATTTTATTTATTTGACAGAGAGAGACACAGTGAGAGAGGGAACACAAGCAGGGGGAGTGGGAGAGGGAGAAGCAGGCTTCCCGCTGAGCAGGGAGCCCGATGCGGGACTCGATCCCAGGACCCTGGGATCACGACCTGAGCCGAAGGCAGACGCTTAACGATTAAGCCACCCAGGCGCCCCCACTCAACTCTTTCCAATCCATCCACCAGACTCAAAATGATCTCTCTAAAATTCAAAACAGATCTTGTCAATCCCTGGCATGATGATCTCTCCTTGGTGCCTTCGGTTTAAACCCCCAAATCTTTAACATGATATATAAGACCTTTCAGAATATGACCCACATCTACTTCAGCTTAATTCCAACCACATTCTGTACAGATTTCCCTTGTACCTATTCTCAGTGTTCCCAAAGCATCAGGATTTTCATTTTTCCTTTAAAATGCAAAAGCAAAAATGTTTTTGCTCATGTGGTTCATTCTATTTACATTCTGGCCCGCTCTTTTCTTGTTCACTTTCTCCATAGTTCTTTATTTTCAAAGGTCTTGTCCTCTGAATGTATTTCCCTTAGTCCATGCTCCCTGCACCCAAATCATGTGCTTGCCCATAGCTCCTATCACGCTGATGCATAAACATGTGTTTATTCATCTGGCTCAACTTGAGCTCCTTGAATGCTCCAGTCATTCCTTCATCCATCCATTTATGTGTTGTGTTCTCATACTTATTATAATGTCTAGAATATAATCAGCTCTCAAGTATATATCTTCTGAATTGAAGCCAAGCCATCATAGGAAGTAAGGCCCTGGGCTTAATGGAACAAAAAAAGTAACTAATATTTACAAAGTGCTATCTATGATTTAAAAAAATCTTTCATATTTTATCCTCACAGCAACACTCTTAGGTGGGTGTCTTTGCTCCCTTTTCACAAATGAAGGAACTGAGATTAAGTTATAGACTCAAAGTCATCGCAAGGGAGGGTTTGAGCCAGGTTCCAAGCTTAGGTCTGTCAATTATACTTCCATGCTCTACAAATCCACCTACCGGGCAATGGACTTTGACAAATATGTTACTTTTCCCCTTGGTTTCTAATTTGCTAAATCTAGCTAATCTAAATCTGAACTAACTCCTACCATGATGTTAATGGGTTCATATGCTGGCACTCATTATCACTTCCCAGAGAGAATATTTTAACATCAAGGAAATATTCTACAGATGCTATTTTCAGCCTAACTGGGGAGATATTTGGGGGGTCATGATCTTTCCAAGGTTCAAGGAATCAGGGAAGAAGGTGCCTGGTTCAATTAGTGGAATTCAGATATGTGACTTTACATAAAAATTAACACTAAGAGCATATATTGACACTGTTACTTACAAAGAGTAATAAATGTAATATACAACCCTCAAGTATAGTATATAATCCACACAGCTGGCCCCAGAAACAGAATAAAGAAAGTGCTGGATCCTCAGACTTATTTGCTAAAATCCCAGGGAAACTTATATAAGTATATTAAAAAAAACCCGACAAACTATCGATAGCTGCCATTCGTAACATTAATATCTTCATTTACTGAGCACTGTGTGCTAGGTAAGGTGGTAGGCATTTATTTTTTACACAAACCTATAAGAGAGGTACTATTATACAAATTACCTTAACCCTGGCATAGGCAGGTTTGTGTGCTAAAATGTCTAAAATTTATCTAAGAATACCTCTCATATAGGGTTATAGAAACAGGAAAATGTCAAGGTTCAAAGTCAATGCCCAAGTTCTTTCCACCATTTCATGCTCTAGGGTCCTAGACTTCTTAGAAAATAATGTACCATCCATATCAAGACACGCTCAACACAAGAATCAGATCAGGGCCTTTGCAGGACTGGAAGAGGAATAGGGAGGAAGTGGGGAGTGGGGCAGTGAATGTGAGTGTGGGAGGGTGTGTGGAGAGGTAGAGGGATGCATGCACAATAAAAGAGCTCTGGAAGTAATGGAGTGTGATGGGCCACTGAGGGGATACAGTTTTACCTCTCTTTATCTAAACATCCTTCTGACCCCTATTCTGAGTGTGAAGGAGACACTCACATGCCCTCAGAAGGTCAGGGTTATTTGCTGCTGTGGAATTTAGCCAGCATTCTCAGTACCCATCTCCACTTTTTATTGGAGGGAAATACGGATTGAAGGACGACTTGGGCCATAGCTGGACATTTTCCACAGACCATTTTGGAGAGGAGATGTGTCCTCAGAAAACATCCCCTTATGGGTTTCTGACACAACAGAATCAATATATTTATTGAAGAAATAAAAGATTTGCTGACACCCACCACCAGCACAAATCAAAGATGTGTGGGTCTAGAGCACATTTTCTTTTTGTTGTGCTGCTCTGCCTTTAATTATTATTATTTTTTAAAAAAATTACTAAATGAACAGTGCCTTTTGGAAAAAAAGCAAATACTACCAGGTTCTATTAGGCAAATGGTGACAATGGCCTCCTTATGTCCTTCTTTTCTGTGTCCTCGGGAACAGCCTATTCATGAGCTGGTTTTTTTAATGACATTTTTCTATACATATTATTTGCTACTTAACTCTTTTCATTCAAAAGTGATCATGGTCATCTTTTCACACATTATAGACCCACCCCTGTCTTTCTCTGTTCTTTCTTTCTCTCTCCTCCTCCTCCTCCTCCTCCTCCTCCTCCTCCTCCTCCTCCTCCTCCTCCTCCTTCTTCTTCTTCTTCCTCCTCCTCCTCCTCTTCTTTTTAAAGGCAATATAGTATCCCATAGTTGGGTTATGGTATAATTTATTTAACCAGTGCCTGTTTTTGGTTGCCTACAGTACTTTATAATGAAAAAGAAAAAATCTGGACAGAACATATGTGCCTCTGGATGAACTTTTCTAACATAATTTCAGGGACAAAGGGTATTTGCAATGCAGATAGATTCTCAAAGTGTTTAACATCATCTAAATGAATGTTAGAAAAGATCTGTGAGAAAATTTTAAAGCCTGACAAGGATTACTCCTGTGAATTCTTGCAGATGTAATTTTGACAACAATTTTTAAAGAAAGAGTGAATAATGAAGATGTGCATGCAACCATTAAAAACTGAGGGGAAAATGGAGTAAATAACCTGAAAATCAAGTCTTTGTAATCACTCTAACTTTTCTCCTTCTTATAATCTACTTTGTTCTTAAAAATCTACAGTTT